CTTTTAAACTCATTTAAACTTTCCTGTGACATCAGTAGCTGTCTCTCTGCGTGGATTGTGCAGTTTGTAATTTAATCTGTGACAACATGCTGCTGTTTAAAGTTTAGCGTTTTTCTCATCTTTGTCTTTATGTGATATTGGCTTATAAAAGCAAATTTGTATGTCAGCTACTTTTTAAACACTCTTTTAGTCTGGTTAGAAATGACAGGGTTTTCCTGTTGCTGTCCGTGGTGCTGCAATGTCAATTACTCTTGTTTGGTGTCTTGCTCTTATGTAGCTCCTATGACTCTATCCCGCCAATCATCATCATCATCATCATCATCATCATCATCTTCTTCTTCTTCTTCTTCTTCCTCCTCCTCCTCCTCCAGTAGGCCTTCTACAAATATTGTGGTCGTGTCTATTACACTCGTCAGGGAATGTTGCTGCCGGCTCACGTTTTGCTAAATAATTTTACCTATAATCGACACTTAATTCTTTCAGAAATATGTATGTTGTGCAGTTTCTTCTTTTAACTCATAGTGTCGCTGTTCACCTGCAAAACAATGTGTGTCTTCTGTACACATCTCTCCACCCTGCTTCTGATGTCATACACTGGGCTTCAGGCTCGCCTCTACAGAAAATCATTGACGGCGACTGATTGCTGCTAATACTGTGGCTATTATTCTACCTTGAGTTTTATATTTGTGTTTTCTTTTACACGTTAAGCGCTGTATTGCTATAGTTGCTGGTCAATATCTGAAGCATTTCAAAGGTTCATCGTTTCTGCTGAGATGTTTGGCCTTTTGTTCTTCGTGATGATGGCGCACACCGCTTATGGAGACGTGAGCTATTCTTTCCCGGAGGAGATGAAACGCGGATCTGTGATTGGAAATATAGCAAAGGATCTCGGGCTCGATGTGAACAGACTGTCATCTCGTAAGGCTCGTATTGATACTGAAGGTAACAGAAAACGATACTGTGATATTAATCTGAATACTGGAGAACTGACCGTAGCGGAGAGAATCGACAGAGAGGAGATTTGTGGAAAGAAAGCTTCGTGTGTTATTAAACAAGAGCTCGTGCTTGAAAATCCTTTAGAGCTACATCGTTTTATTCTCAATATTGAGGACATAAATGATAATTCACCACAGTTCAAGGAAAGTGTTGTAAAATTCGAAATACAGGAATCAGCGGTCAAAGGATCTCGTTATTTATTAGAAGAGGCTTACGATGCTGATATTGGCATGAATTCAGTGCAGTCATATACACTTCAAAATAATGAACATTTTCTTCTTAATGTACTAACCAGGGCAAATGGGAAAAAATATGGCGAGCTTGTTCTTAATAAAGAGTTGGATCGTGAGCAGCAGAAAGAGGTGACTTTAATTCTTACTGCGGTAGACGGCGGGACTCCACCGAGATCAGGGACTGTAGCCATACACGTCACTGTGCTGGATGCTAATGATAATGCTCCAGTCTTTAGTCAGGCCGTCTATAAAGTCAGTCTGCCTGAAAACTCTCCTCTAGAGACTGTAGTGGTGACAGTGAGCGCTACTGATCCTGACGAGGGACAGAATGGAGAAGTGACGTATGCATTTGGTCATTTACTTCAAAAGATCCTGCAATTATTTTTCATCGATGCAGTGTCTGGTGTAATTAAACTAACAGGTCCAATTGATTATGAAGAGGAGAGTACGATCGAACTTCCCATTCAAGCTAAAGATGGTCAAGGGTTAGCCAGTTATTCCACCGTATTAATAGATATTGTTGATGTTAACGATAACGCACCTATGGTTATACTTAAATCTCTTAATAGTCCAGTTCCTGAGAACGCGTTTCCCGGTACAGAGGTTGGCATCATTAATGTGCAGGACAGAGACTCTGAGAATAACGGACAGGTGCGCTGCTCTATTCAGCAAAACGTCCCATTTAAACTCGTTCCTTCAATCAAAAATTACTATTCTCTGGTGACCACAGGTGAATTAGACCGCGAGCTGATCTCTGATTATAATATTACAATCACTGCTACTGATGAGGGCTCTCCGCCTTTATCTTCCACTAAGAATATTCACTTGACTGTATCTGACGTGAATGATAATCCACCTGTATTTGAGGAGCAGAATTACAGAGCTTATGTGCAAGAAAATAACACACCGGGCTCCTCTATTTGTTCAGTATCAGCTACAGACCCGGACTGGAGACAGAATGGCACTGTAGTTTATTCTCTGTTGTCCTCTGATGTCAATGGCGCACCGGTGTCCTCCTTTCTATCCATTAACGGAGACACCGGGGTCATTCATGCCGTGAGGTCGTTTGATTACGAACAGCTGAAGAGTTTCAAAGTGCTCGTGTTAGCCAGAGACAACGGTTCTCCTCCTCTGAGCAGTAACGTGACCGTGAGTGTCTTCATATCGGATGAGAATGACAACTCCCCTCAGATATTATACCCCTCTCCGGAAGGAAACTCCTTCATGACCGAGATGGTTCCCAAAGCTGCGCTGGCGCGCTCCCTGGTCTCCAAGGTGATCGCCGTGGACGCGGATTCTGGACAGAACGCGTGGCTCTCGTATCACATTGTTAAAGCGACTGATCCGGGACTTTTCACTATCGGTGTCCACAGCGGGGAGATCAGGACGCAGCGGGACATTTCTGAATCTGACAGCATGAAACAGAACCTTATTGTGTCCGTGAGAGATAACGGACAGCCCTCTCTCTCAGCCACGTGCGCGCTGTATTTACTCATATCAGATAACTTGGCTGAAGTTCCAGAACTGAAAGACATGTCTCATGACGAGAGCAGCTCCAAACTGACGTTTTATTTGATCATCGCGCTGGTGTCCGTTTCCACTTTCTTCCTGACCTTCATCATCATCATCCTGGCTGTGAGGTTTTGTCGCAGGAGAAAGCCCAGACTGTTGTTTGATGGAGCTGTAGCCATTCCCAGCGCGTATCTCCCTCCAAATTACGCAGAGGTGGAGGGCGCGGGAACTCTCCGCAGCGCTTACAATTATGACGCGTACCTGACCACGGGCTCGCACACTAGTGACTTCAAGTTCGTCAGATCTTATAATGAGGGCACACTGACTGCTGACCTGACTCTGAAAAAGACTCAGTCCGCTGTGGATGATCTTGAAGGACTTGATGCGGAAATCAACGATTCGTTTCAGGTAGGACTAACAAAGGATTTATTTATTTATTTATTTATTTATTTATATGTTCTGTATTGCCTGCTTTGATTGGCATATACTTTAACATATTAGAGGATTGTGTTTGAAGTCAGAAAAGTAACTTTATCAAGTAAGGTTTTTTATAAAATAATTTATTTCTCAAGCAAGTTATTTTTATATATATTTTTTATAAACCAGGGCCAGTTTGTTTGTTATTAGACACATATTTTTTTTTTTAAATGTTTGGTTTTAAAGGGATTTCCGAAATGTTAACAATTGAGATTAAATGGCTCAAACCCATCTAATATGATCCATGCGTGAATTGTTGGTGAGTTTCTCTATATTTTTATTAACTTTTTTGTCTTCATCTCGTGTTAAAAAAAATATATTAGACGGTAAGTTTAGAGGAAAGGGGCATGTCCATGGTGCTGTACAGACAGTGTCTGTTGCTGGTGGAGTTTTGCTGTATAATGTGTATACAGTCATGTTTTAAAAAATATGTACATTTTATATGCCCTTGAAAAACGAGCTTGTTCTCTTTTAAATTCTATGATAATATTTGGTTGTTCCGGGCCTTTGATATTGTGAAGTAATTGCAAGTGTTGTATCCAAGTTTTACCATTTAGCTTCAGAGTTATTAGAGTTTCCCAATTTAACTCTGTGTTGTTGTTTACCAGTGCCAGCACCGTTGACATTCACATTGTTTTTGTCCACTCTGTTGATAATGTCATATTCAGGACTGACATCACAGTTCGCTGTAGACAACAGGTGATGTTGAGCGGTTACCTCAATTGTTGTGCTATTATATTGACTATGAACTAGATTAAATCATTTGCGATGTCTTGTACAATTGTATTCTTTATAAATTGGTCAAATGTGTGTTCTTGTGATCTTGAAGGACATAGTGAGGACATGAGTTACTCTTTAAAGTAGGACTAACGAATACTCTCTTTAGATAAATAGTTATAGTCTGGGTTTACAGATTAAATGTGTAGGCCTATATGTAATTTAATTGACTGCTTTCATTGACAACAGGCTCTTTAAAATAGCAAGATCACGCGGTGCATTCAAGTGCTTTTAGACACATGGACATTTACGAGGTTCAGTTTAAAGTCTGAAATGTAGTTAAATTAGTCTAGTTTATTTATTTATTGCTCATGTATGATCTATTGTCCATGTTTCACGAGTCGTCTTACTATTGAGTTTTGCATTATTTTTTCGTCAGTAGGATTTTTTTATTCGAAGAGCTTCTGTAAGCTTATCTGTTGGTGACATTTTAAATAAATCCGAAACTGACTCGTTTTGTTGACTAATCGTTTTCTCGAGCTCATTTTATCATTTTTTTTCTAATTGTTACTTTGTTTGCCTTTATATGGATGCGGATATTAATCGAATCTATGACAAAATGTTGCTGTTTTATATGTGATTTTATGTTTATCTCATCGATGTCTCCTTTATGTGAAATATGTCTTTTATAAAGGCAAATAAATTCCGATGTCAGCATTTTTTAAATGTCATTTTGGTAGAATTGGAAATAGCATTGATCATGTTTGACTGTCGCTGTCCGTGGTGCTGCACCGGGATTTATTCTTGGTGTTTGGGTTTTTTGCTACTAAATAATGTTGCAATCTAAACAGCTGTTTTTGCTTTAGTACCTTACAAGTTGTGCTTTTATATTTATCTTCCAGTCGTCAGTGAATGTCGCTGCTTGTTCTTGTTTCTCAGAATAATTCAGTAGGCCTATATGCAAGTTAGGTGTACATTCCAGCACTTAATTCTGTTAAAAGATACAAATATCATGCAGTTTCTTCTTTTAACTCACAGTGTCGCTGTTCACCTGCAAAACCATGTGTGTGTTCAGTACACATCTCTCCACCCTGCTTCTGATGTCATACACAGGGCTTCAAGCTCGCCTCATTATAGAATCGTCGACGGAGACTGCCTCATATACTGTACTTCTGCCCACACTCGTAATTTAAATTTACATTTATGTTTTCCTTTTACATGTATATTGTTGTGTTCCTGGATTTAATTGCTTAGGCATTTCAAACGTTCTGCGTTTTTGCTGAGATGTTTGGCCTTTTGTTCTTCGTGCTGATGGCGCACACCGCTTATGGAGACGTGAGCTATTCTTTCCCGGAGGAGATGAAACGCGGATCTGTGATTGGAAATATAGCAAAGGATCTCGGGCTCGATGTGAACAGACTGTCATCTCGTAATGCTCGCATTGATACTGAAGGTAACAGAAAACGATACTGTGATATTAATCTGAATACTGGAGAACTGACCGTAGCGGAGAGAATCGACAGAGAAGAGATTTGTGGCGACAGGGTTTCATGTGTTTTAAAATTTGAGTTCATGCTCGAGGATCCCTTAGAGCTGCACCGTGTTTCAGTTCAAATTCAGGATATTAATGACAATTCGCCTGTTTTCTCAAAGGATTTGATCACATTTGAAATTAGTGAGTCTGCTGTCCGAGGAACTCGCTATCGCTTGAATTCGGCTCATGATGCGGATGTAGGACAGAATGCAGTTCAGAAATACAATCTACAAAAAAATTATAATTTTCAACTGGCTTTAAATTCAAATGTAGACGGAGAAAAGAATTTGGAATTATTGCTAGATAAAGAGTTGGATCGAGAGCAGCAGAAAGAGGTGACTTTAATTCTTACTGCGGTAGACGGCGGGACTCCACCGAGATCAGGGACTGTAGCCATACACGTCACTGTGCTGGATGCTAATGATAATGCTCCAGTCTTTAGTCAGGCCGTCTATAAAGTCAGTCTGCCTGAAAACTCTCCTCTAGATACTGTAGTGGTGACAGTGAGCGCTACTGATGCTGACGAGGGACAGAATGGAGAAGTGACGTATGAATTTGGTCGTATCTCTGACAGAGCTAGAAAGCTGTTCTCAGTAGATCCACATACAGGTCACATTCAAGTTACAGGTGCCCTTGATTTCGAGGACGAAGCTGTTTATGAATTACGTGTAGAAGGAAAAGATGGATTTGGTTTATCCAGTGACGCTAAAGTTGTAATTCAACTTACAGATGTTAATGACAATGCTCCTGAGATACGTTTAAAATCTTTGCGTAGTCCCGTTCCTGAGAACGCGTTACCCGGTACAGAGGTTAGCATCATTAATGTTCAGGACAGAGACTCTGAGAATAACGGACAGGTGCGCTGCTCCATTCAGCAAAACGTCCCATTTAAACTCGTTCCTTCAATCAAAAATTACTATTCTCTGGTGACCACAGGTGAATTAGACCGCGAGCTGCTCTCTGATTATAATATTACAATCACTGCTACTGATGAGGGCTCTCCCCCTTTATCTTCCACCAAGAATATTCACTTGACTGTATCTGACGTGAATGATAATCCACCTGTATTTGAGGAGCAGAATTACAGAGCTCATGTGCAAGAAAATAACACACCGGGCTCCTCTATTTGTTCAGTATCAGCTACAGACCCGGACTGGAGACAGAATGGCACTGTAGTTTATTCTCTGTTGTCCTCTGATGTCAATGGCGCACCGGTGTCCTCCTTTCTATCCATTAACGGAGACACCGGGGTCATTCATGCCGTGAGGTCGTTTGATTACGAACAGCTGAAGAGTTTCAAAGTGCTCGTGTTAGCCAGAGACAACGGCTCTCCTCCTCTGAGCAGTAACGTGACCGTGAGTGTCTTCATATCGGATGAGAATGACAACTCCCCTCAGATATTATACCCCTCTCCGGAAGGAAACTCCTTCATGACCGAGATGGTCCCCAAAGCTGCACAGGCGCGCTCCCTGGTCTCCAAGGTGATCGCCGTGGACGCGGATTCTGGACAGAATGCGTGGCTCTCGTATCACATTATTAAAGCGACTGATCCGGGACTTTTCACTATCGGTGTCCACAGCGGGGAGATCAGGACGCAGCGGGACATTTCTGAATCTGACAGCATGAAACAGAACCTTATTGTGTCCGTGAGAGATAACGGACAGCCCTCTCTCTCAGCCACGTGCGCGCTGTATTTACTCATATCAGATAACTTGGCTGAAGTTCCAGAACTGAAAGACATGTCTCATGACGAGAGCAGCTCCAAACTGACGTTTTATTTGATCATCGCGCTGGTGTCCGTTTCCACTTTCTTCCTGACCTTCATCATCATCATCCTGGCCGTGAGGTTTTGTCATAGGAGAAAGCCCAGACTGTTGTTTGATGGAGCTGTAGCCATTCCCAGCGCGTATCTCCCTCCAAATTACGCAGAGGTGGAGGGCGCGGGAACTCTCCGCAGCGCTTACAATTATGACGCGTACCTGACCACGGGCTCGCGCACTAGTGACTTCAAGTTCGTCAGATCTTATAATGAGGGCACACTGACTGCTGACCTGACTCTGAAAAAGACTCAGTCCGCTGTGGATGATCTTGAAGGACTTGATGCGGAAATGAGCGACTCGTTTCAGGTAGGACTAACTTTTTTTTAAAATAGATTTAATATTTATGTTTTATATTGACTGCTTTCATTGGCCAGAAAAAAATACGTGGCTCACTCAAGTGATATTGTAGACTTGAACATTTTAGAAGGTCAGTTTGAAATTTGAAAAGTTATATCAGTGTTTTCGTATATATTATTTATTTAATACACAAACAAGTTATTTTTGTACATTTTTTATAAATATAATTTTGTAAATCAGCTGCAAATTGTTTAAAAAAAATGTTTTAAAGGGATTTCAAAAATGTTAGAAGTTGTGATTAAATGGCGTAGCCTAAACTCATGTAATGGGATCCAATGCGGTGTGGATAGTTTGTGAGTTTCTTTATAGGCTCTTTTTTTTTTGCCTTCCCGTAGTGTTAAAAAATAAATAAATGTCGGATAGTAAGTTAGATGAAAAGGGCATATTTCTATTTGCTGTCCATGGTTCTGTACAGACAATGTCTGTTGCTGGGGAGGTTTTTCCTCTATACTGTGTCTAAATACAGTCGTGTTTTTAAATGCTCTTGAAAATCGTGCTGTTCTCTTTTAAATTCTACGAGAATGTTTGGTTGTTCCGGGCCTTTGATATTGTGAAGTCATTTCATGCGTTGTATCGAAGTTTTGGCATTTATTGTCAGAGTTATTAGAGTTTCCCAATTTAACTGTGTTGTTGTTTACCAGTGCCACCGTTGGCTTTCACATTGTTTCTCTCCACTCTGTTCATGGTGTCATATTCAGGACTGACATCACAGTTCGCTGTAGACAAACAAATTATGTTAAACGGTTGAGGCTTTGACTGGATTTACAGAGTGAATGTGTAAATGCAGTTTATTTGACTGCTTTCATTGACAACATACTCTTTAAAATAGCAAGATCGCTGCGCCTCATTCAAGTGCTTTTAGACACATTAACATTTGTGAGGTTAGTTTTAAAATCTGAGGTTAGTTTTAAAATCTGAAAAATGTATAAATTAGTCTAATTTATTTATAGATTTTACTCATGTATGATTAACTGTGTAATATCATGTTTCACAAGTTGTGTTACTATTGAGTTTTGCATTCTTTTTAGTCGCTATTATTATCTTTTTCAAAGAGCTTGTATACAGTTAGCCTTTTTGGTCACATTTAAAGAAATAAATCTGAAACTGACTTGTTCTTTTGACTAATCGTTTTATCAAGCACATTTTAATGTTTTTTCTAACATCTCTTTTTGTGCCTATATTTATTAGGATTTTTGTAATCGAATCTATGACAAAATATTGCTGTTTTAGGTAGGCCTAATTTTGCGTTTCTCTCATCGATGTCTCCTTCATGTTAAATGTGGATTATAAGGGAATTTTAATTCCGACGTCAACAGTTTTTAAATACCATTTAAATAGCAATGGGAATAGCGTTAAGCAGGTTTTACTGTCGCTGTCCGCGGTGCTGCATCCGAGTTTATTCTTGACGCTTGGGTATATTACTCATAAATAATGTAACCTTCTATACCTTATTTTTTTATTTTTTTTATTATTAGTACCTTAAATGTTGTTATTTTATTTATCTCTCAATCTTCAGTTAATGTCGCTGCTTGTTCTTGTTTCTCAAAATAATTCAGCATTATGGCAAGTTCGGTGTACATTCCAAGCACTTAATTCTGTCAAGAGATTAAAAAATATATCATGCAGTTTTTTATTTTAACTCACAGTGTCGCTGTTCACCTGGAAAACCATTAGACTTCAGTACACATCTCTCCACCCTGCTTCTGATGTCATACACAGGGCTTTTAAGCTCTCCTCATTGTAGAACATCGTCGACGGAGACTGCCTCTGTACTTCTGTCTACATTTCTAAATTTAGATTTACATGTATGTTTTCCTTTACATGTTGTTGTGTTCCTGGATTTAATTGCTTAGGCATTTCAAACGTTCTGCGTTTTTGCTGAGATGTTTGCCCTTTTGTTCTTCGTGCTGATGGCGCACACCGCTTATGGAGACGTGAGCTATTCTTTCCCGGAGGAGATGAAACGCGGATCTGTGATTGGAAATATAGCAAAGGATCTCGGACTCGATGTGAACAGACTGTCATCTCGTAAGGCTCGTATTGATACTGAAGGTAACAGAAAACGATACTGTGACATTAATCTGAATACTGGAGAACTGACCGTAGCGGAGAGAATCGACAGAGAGAGTCTTTGTGGTAAGAAAGCTTCATGTATCATAAATCAGGAGCTTGTTCTTGAAAGTCCGCTAGAACTGCATCGCTTTATTTTCAATATTGAAGACATAAATGATAATCCACCACAGTTCACAGAGAGTGTTATCGAATTCGAAATACGGGAATCAGCGGTCAAAGGATCTCGTTATTTATTAGATGAGGCCCACGATGCGGACATTGGTATGAATTCAGTGCAGTCATATACACTTCAAAACAATGAACACTTTCTTCTTAGTGTATTAACGCGTTCAAATGGAAGAAAATATGGAGAGCTAGTTCTTAATAAAGAGTTGGATCGTGAGCATCAGAAAGAGTTGACTTTAATTCTTACTGCGGTAGACGGCGGGACTCCACCGAGATCAGGGACTGTAGCCATACACGTCACTGTGCTGGATGCTAATGATAATGCTCCAGTCTTTAGTCAGGCCGTCTATAAAGTCAGTCTGCCTGAAAATTCTCCTGTAGATACTGTAGTGGTGACAGTGAGCGCTACTGATGCTGACGAGGGACAAAATGGGGAAGTGACGTATGCATTTAGTCATTTATCCGAAATTACCCGGCAATTATTTTTCCTTGATGCAATTTCGGGAGAGATTAAACTAAAGGGACTCATGGATTATGAGGAGGAGACTTCAATCGAACTGCCGATTCAAGCTAAAGATGGCCAAGGGTTAGCCAGTCATTGTACAGTAATAATAGTTGTTATTGATGTCAATGATAACAGCCCTATAATAATAATTAGCTCTCTCAACAGCCCCGTTCCTGAGAACGCGTTACCCGGTACAGAGGTTGGCATCATTAATGTGCAGGACAGAGACTCTGAGAATAACGGACAGGTGCGCTGCTCCATTCAGCAAAACGTCCCATTTAAACTCGTTCCTTCAATCAAAAATTACTATTCTCTGGTGACCACAGGTGAATTAGACCGCGAGCTGCTCTCTGATTATAATATTACAATCACTGCTACTGATGAGGGCTCTCCGCCTTTATCTTCCACTAAGAATATTCACTTGACTGTATCTGACGTGAATGATAATCCACCTGTATTTGAGGAGCAGAATTACAGAGCTTATGTGCAAGAAAATAACACACCGGGCTCCTCTATTTGTTCAGTATCAGCTACAGACCCGGACTGGAGACAGAATGGCACTGTAGTTTATTCTCTGTTGTCCTCGGATGTCAATGGCGCACCGGTGTCCTCCTTTCTATCCATTAACGGAGACACCGGGGTCATTCATGCCGTGAGGTCGTTTGATTACGAACAGCTGAAGAGTTTCAAAGTGCTCGTGTTAGCCAGAGACAACGGTGCTCCTCCTCTGAGCAGTAACGTGACCGTGAGTGTCTTCATATCGGATGAGAATGACAACTCCCCTCAGATATTATACCCCTCTCCGGAAGGAAACTCCTTCATGACCGAGATGGTTCCCAAAGCTGCGCAGGCGCGCTCCCTGGTCTCCAAGGTGATCGCCGTGGACGCGGATTCTGGACAGAACGCGTGGCTCTCGTATCACATTATTAAAGCGACTGATCCGGGACTTTTCACTATCGGTGTCCACAGCGGGGAGATCAGGACGCAGCGGGACATTTCTGAATCTGACAGCATGAAACAGAACCTTATTGTGTCCGTGAGAGATAACGGACAGCCCTCTCTCTCAGCCACGTGCGCGCTGTATTTACTCATATCAGATAACTTGGCTGAAGTTCCAGAACTGAAAGACATGTCTCATGACGAGAGCAGCTCCAAACTGACGTTTTATTTGATCATCGCGCTGGTGTCCGTTTCCACTTTCTTCCTGACCTTCATCATCATCATCCTGGCTGTTAGGTTTTGTCGCAGGAGAAAGCCCAGACTGTTGTTTGATGGAGCTGTAGCCATTCCCAGCGCGTATCTCCCTCCAAATTACGCAGAGGTGGAGGGCGCGGGAACTCTCCGCAGCGCTTACAATTATGACGCGTACCTGACCACGGGCTCGCGCACTAGTGACTTCAAGTTCGTCAGATCTTATAATGAGGGCACACTGACTGCTGACCTGACTCTGAAAAAGACTCAGTCCGCTGTGGATGATCTTGAAGGACTTGATGCGGAAATGAGCGACTCGTTTCAGGTAGGACTAAGTCTTTCTTTTAAAGAATATTTGGTGGATTGAAATTGTGAAAAAGTGTATTTTCCCCACTTGACTGCTTTCATTGGCATTGTTTTCTGCTGTTGGCAGATCACGTGGCTCTTTCAAAAAAATTTTGTTTTGTTTTTTGTGGGCAAATATTTTGAGGGTCAGTTTAAAATCAGAAAAGTTGCTGCATTATGTGGTATTTTGTCTTTTTTTATTTTTAATGGTCTGGACTTCCATATTAAATGTGTATTTGTGTTCAAAGTTGACCGCTTTCACTGCCAATAGTCTCTTTGAAGACCAAAACTATCTGACTCATTCAAATGCTTTATTTCATGCACATGGACATTTTAAAATATTTTGTAAAGGCTACATTGAATAGAATTCTTTTGTTTTCTTAGTCATGTATGGTCGGTTTTAAGTTATGTGTCTGTGTGTGCGTTTGTTTGTGTGTGTGTGTGTATACCTGTCTGCGTGTGCCTGTATATTTTTTATTCGAAGTGATTGAAGTTTTGTGTTGATTTTTGAGTTACAACGTCAAAGTTTTGTGATCATCTTATCGTTGAGCTATTATCTTGTGAGTAGCCTAGTTGTAATTTCTTATGTCATGTTATTTTTCCGTGTACGAGGGGTTAATGTTGGAAATCTGCTGTTCGTTTCAAGACTAACAACGTCTTTTTAATTATATAATGGTCTGTGTTTACATTA